TGCCGCCTCGTTGCCGCCTTGTGCTCTGTGTGGGCCCGGCGAGGCCTCGAAAATGTTGCCGCCCGCTGCCGCCTCGTTACCGCCCCGCACGCTGCATGGCTCCGGCGAGCTTGCGCCACCTTGCCGCCCGTTGCCGTCCCGTGCGCTGGAGGGCTCCGGCGAGGGTTCGCCACCTTGCCGCCCGTTGCCGTCCCGTGCGCTGGAGGGCTCCGGCGAGCTTTCGCCACCTTGCCGCCCGTTGTCGCCTCGGTGCCGCCCGAAGCGGTGGGTGGGACCGGAAAAGTTGGCCACGTGGCCGCCCGTGGCCGCCTCGTTGCCGCCTCGTGCGCTGGCTGGATCTTTGCGAGGCTTTGCCACGGTGCCGCCCGCTGCCGCCTCGTTGCCGCCCTTGTCCGCTTCTGTGCGGCCTGCACCTTGCACAACATAACCTGTACCACATATCTTCAACCATATACAGCTTCCTCCACATAGCTCGCACATTCGCAGTGAATTAACTCATGTGTTGGTGTCCTGGCTGGCCAACGTTCAAGAAAATGGTAATCTTATGAGCGTTTTCTGATTCGGCGTTTGGACACTGGGCGGACGGGGGGAGGGGGAGTGTCTGGCTCCAGTTCTCTGCTCAATGCGTCTGTTTGCAACAGTGCGTCCTATGATGGGGAAGGCGGGAGCAAGGGCCCGCGCCGATCGGCAAAACTATGAATAAGAAAACGTTCGCCTTTTGTTGACATACATCTGTTTGTTTCAGATGTGTTTGAGGAGCTGTATCTTGAAATGCTTCGAGAATCGATGATGTTGGACGGTTTTCGAAGCGCGCACGCGTGGCGGCGTGCACATATGGCCCCCGCGGTCCTATTCGATATACGGATCCGCGCGGGGGGCACATGCCAGATCAACACAAATGCACCGCGTGGTGTGATGTGAATGTGGGTTCTGGACGGATTGCTCAGAGTCAATGGTTTCCATCAGATTTCGGAAAGTGCGCCCCGGCAGACACTCTGACATACCTTTGTTGGACACTATGTTGCAATGTTTTGATATTGACGCGCGTCCAGAACTAATGTGGTTGGTATGGTTTCGACGTGTGCGTGCGTGTGGGCTTTCTGTACTTCGTTTGCAGGGGATTTTCGGAACAATACTTTTCTTTTGCGATCATCGTGTGGTCTCGCTTGAGACAGGAATGACGGGGGGTCGGTACGGGTCGGAATGGAATGGCCTGATTTCTGAAGGAAACCAACGATGTGCCTGAATCCGACGTAATCTGTACTATCCCAAGGGGAGTCGACATGTCCGGGCTTGGAAACGCGGTAGGTGCTGTCATTCTTCAGAGAAGGGGGACATCTGAGGCGCAGGATGTAACCTCCGTGGTGCAAGTTGCGCGGTGCAGACAATGAGGTGCAAACTGTGGTGCAGACTGCGTAGTAGTAGTAGTAGTAGTAGTAGTAGTAGTAGTAGTAGTAGTAGTAGTAGTAGTAGTAGTAGTAGTAGCAGTAGCAGTAGTAGTAGTAGTAGTAGTAGTAGTAGTAGTAGTAGTAGTAGTAGTAGTTAGTAGTAGTAGTAGTAGTAGTAGTAGTTAGTAGTAGTAGTAGTAGTAGTAAGTAGTAGTAGTAGTAGTAGTAGTAGTAGTAGTAGTAGTAGTAGTAGTAGCTAGTAGTAGTAGTAGTAGTAGTAGTAGCAGCAGTAGTAGCAGTAGAAGCAGTAGTAGCAGTAGTAGCAGTAGTAGTAGTAGTAGTAGTAGTAGTAGTAGTAGTAGTAGGAGTAGGAGTAGTAGTAGTAGTAGTAGTAGTAGTAGTAGTAGTAGTCGTAGTAGTAGTAGTAGTAGTAGTAGTAGTAGTAGTAGAAATAGTGGTAGAGTGCAGACTGTGGCGCAGACTGTGGAGCCGACTGCGGCGCAAAACCTCTGTGGTGCAAGCCGTGAGGTGCAGACCGCGGGATGCAAGCTGCGGTGCTGCACGCCACGCCCTCCGTCGGATCGCCGCCCAGCGCACGGGGGCCAGCGCCCGCGGGCGACGACTCGAACCCACGCGTCGTCGGGCGAGCCGCCCAGGGGCGCCCCACGGCCCACGAGACGCCCACGGGCGCCCGCCAGCCGACCATCCGGAGCTCCCCACCGCCGCGAGGGGGCCACCAAGGGCAGCGAGAGCACGGAAATCGCAGAAAAACGCGAGGCGCCCACAAAGGCGGCCATGGATGCCCACCAGGCGAGTCCAGAGCCTCCAGCCGATTCCTCAGGACAGCAGTGCGAACCCCTGTCGTGCAAGCGCTGCTCTGGGGGGAAAGGCGCACAGAAAGGATGAAGATGAGGAGGGGGGGTGATGGTTCAAACGTCGACCTGCTGTGTGCGAACCCCGCTTGACGGCGTCCACGCCTCAGAAACACACGTGCGCCTTTGATTGTCTCGTGGAGCGGCTTCCCGTAAATTCGAACTCAAATTAACACGGCCACCAAAATCCCTGCTCTGAATTCGACGCCTCCTTCTCCATCTCTCTTTCTCCACCGCGCTGGGCCATCAGCCCGCGTCCTGGTACTTCCTTTCCCGTCCTCTCCAACTCTCTCCCTCGGTGACCTGTTCCGTATCGTATCGCTCATTCGTGGCTCCTGGCTCTGTCTGACTCGTCGGGCGCGGACTGGCGGGCCCGTTCCGTGACGAGACTCCCTCTGCAACGACCCCACCACCCTCGAGTTTGTACCTTTTCCGGCCGCACGCCCACGTCCTGAGCCTTCCCCCTGGACCTCCTCCACCTCTTCCTCTTCCTCCTCCTCCTCTTTGGACAGCCTTCTGCTCTGAACCGTTTCCAGATAGCCCCAGGGACCGTGGAGGGCCCAACGGAGGCCCAAGAAGGCGAGCAGCCTCAGGACCGTGCTTCCCTCAGTCGGGGGGCGTCCAGCAGGAAACCTGCGGAAGAGGCGGGGGGCCAGGCACGTGCGCGGACGAGGCGGGGGCCAAGGGACGCATGGAAAGATATGCAGCAATGCAGAGGGGACCCTCACATCTGGGGAGATATCATAACCCCCACCATGATATCCCCCCCCAATCATCCACCTGCACCCAATACCCGAGGAGGAGTTGGAGGAGGAGTAGGAGGAGATGGAGGAGATGGAGGAGACGGAGGAGGAGATGGACGAGGAGGAGGAGGAGGGGGAGGAGGAGGACGGGTCGCCTAAGCCCTCCGGAGAAACCCTCCACATCCGCCCCCTTCTCGGGCGCCCCCGACTCAGGACGCTCTTGCTCCACGGAGATCCGCTGGCTGGGGGTCGGCTGGGGCGCCCCGGAGTTTCCACGCCTCGCTGCCGACGCGGCCCGCGCGGGGCTGGTGCGACCGCGTGCTTGGTGGCGCAGTACGCGGAGCCGCCCACGTAGCACTCGTGGCCCTGGGGCGGCATTGCTGCAGTCTCTCGAGAGCGGGGGCCGACGGACAGCCGCAGCTCCGACCCCCCTACTCTGAGCATGTTCTTAGGGTGGAGGGCTGAGGGTGAAATCCATATGGGCTTTTGCACCTCGAAGATCAAGCCGTCTTGTGAATCACCTTTTGCAGATTCAGGCCTCGAAAATCAATCGAAGCGGCATTTCAAAGAAAATGCTCGGCTACTGTTGGACAATTTCGTCCTCCACTTCTGCCTCCGGGGCCCGTTCTCGAGCTCCGGGACCGTCGAGATCGGCACAGGAGGAAAAACACTCCCTGGGGGAAGGGTCGGGTTCTCTGGGTCCGCTTAATGCCGACACAGCGCGCAGACGCGCCAAAAATCCGCACCCGACGTTTTGTTGCGCCGATGGTGCTAACGATGCCGACCAAATCCCCCCTTTTCGTTTTCCCCTCTCCCTCCATTCCCCTCTATCGTCACAAACGGCGATCATGCCCATATACACGCCCTCGCGGTCTGGATTCCGAAGAGCGGTCGCACGGATACATTCCGAGCGAGGCAATCGCAACAAAAACGCACCGTATCGTCGAGGTCGCTGCCCAGAAGCCCGGCCCGCGAGGCCCCAGATACATGTAATATGTTTTCTGCCCACGGTGTCTGCCACTCCCCCCCCCCCCCGCTCGGAAACGCCAGTCATCACCTCCCGTCGCTCTCTCTCTCTCTCTCTCTTTCTCCCTCTTGTTGTTGTTGTTGTTGTTGTTGTTGTTGTTGTTGTTGTTGTTGTTGTTGTTGTTTGTTTGTGTTCTTTCTTTCTTTCTTTCTCTCTCTCTCTCCCTCTCTCTCCCTCTCGCTCTGCGCACGTCCTGCGCCGACGACGGGGTGCGGGCCCCAAGCCGGGCGAGCCACCCGTGCCTCCGCGAGCGGGCGCCCCGGGCGCGCCCCTGCCCGCTGCGGGCGACGAGCCGCGGCCCGCCGCGGGTCGCCCCGCCAGGCCCCCCCGAGGCCGACAGAGCGGCCAGCAGCGGGCAGGCGGGGCGCGGCGCGCCCGCGCGCGGCTCCCCGTGCGCCGCGCGGAGGCGCGGGAGGAGCGCCTGCCCCGCGGGCACCGCGCAGACGGCGAAAGGTGGGCGATTATCGGGGGCGGGGCGGAGCGACGCGGAGCGACGCGGGCGAAGTGGGGGGGGGCGGGCAAAGCGGTGGCGGCATCGCGGCACGCGGCGCGACGTGCACCGCGCGGAGCATCCGCCGCCGAGGGCCGGGCGACGCGTGGGCGACGGGGGGAGGGGCCCCCGAGGGGCGGGCCCCACGGTGCGAAGCGCGCCCCCGACGCGCCAAGCCGCACGAGGGAGAGAAGAGTCGGTGGAAAAACACACGATCTGTGGAACACGCACCCAGCCTGTGGAACAAAAACACGCAGTCTGTGGAAACACGCACACAGTGTGTGCGCGTGTGTTTTTATAACAGGGTACGATGGGACGCTGGCGTGGGACGCTTGTCCGTGCTCGGCGCTGCTGCCGGCGTCTGTGCCCCACAGCAGGGCATGCACAAGGGAGGATGGCCGCGCGCCTCCTGCGTGGAGGGCGCCCTGCCCCGGCGCCTGCCGCTGCAGCTTAGCAGCGCGCCTGGGGATGAGGGTGATGGGAGGAGGAGGAGGAGGAGCAGCAGTAGGAGGAGGAGGAGGAGGAGGAGGAGGAGGAGGAGGAGGAGGAGGAGGAGCAGCAGTAGGAGGAGGAGGAGGAGGAGGAGAAAGAGAGGGGGGGAAGGCCGAGAGGTGCAAGACGGGGGGAGAAGAGAGAGAGAGAGAGATAACAAACAAAAAGACTCGGCGTGGTAAGGGGGGTAAAGGGTGGTATCTTTGTGTAGGTGGCTTGTGTGTGAGGGTCAGATTTAAGACGATCATCAGCATACTCATCAGAATCCTCATCCTCATCCTCATCATCACCATCATCATCATTATCATCAGAATCATCATCTCGTCTTCATTTTCCTCCTCAGCATCTCCCATCTCACCGCGCAATCAACACATTGAGACACCTGTACGATCAACAGCAATAAGAAAACCATACAATGAAAACCAATCAGAACTCCACACATTCAAGAACAATCATAAACCCATGCAATCAAAAACAATAAGGAGTCCATGCAATCACAAACAATAAGAACTCGACACAATTAAAATCACAAAGAAATCCACACAAGTAACGACAACACGAAACCCATGCCATGAACAAACATAAGAAATCATACACCCAGAACGAACATCAATTTCAATTTGAAGTTAATAAACCATGTGCGAAGGACTCCCTCCTCCTCCTCCATCTCCTGCACGTCCTGTTCCTCCTCCTCCTCCTCTTCCTCCTCTTTTTTGTTTGTTCTCTCTCTCTCTCTCTCCTTCTCTCCTTTTTTTTTCCTCTCTCTCTCTCTCTCTCCCTCTCTCTCTTCCTCTCTGTTTAATAGAAAAAAGGAGACAAAGAGAGAGAGAGAGAGAGGGAGGAGGAGGAGGAGGAGGCACAGGAAGAGGAGGAGCAGGAGCAGGACGTGCAGGAGGTGGAGGAGGAGGAGGGAGGACTGGTCCTTTGCGCGGAGTCTTGTGTTTTTTTGGAACCCTCACAAGTTTTACTAATGTTCGTTCGACTGGATGTTGTTTGTTTTCCGATGACAGTCACAGGTTCCCTTGCCATAGAGCTACGAACCCTGTGAGGGTTCCCCCCCAAAAAAAAACGTTCAAGGTTCCAAACAAACAACAACAATCAATGGTTATCCAGACTTCAGGCTGCCTGGGCGGATCTGGCCTGGAGGGGCCCAGACGAAGTCTAAAGTCCCGAAAGCCATTGATGTGTGTTCTTTGGGTGACACTCACCAGTTGTTGTTGTCGTTGTCGTTGTCGTTGTCGTTGTCGTTGTCGTTGTCGTTGTTGTTGTTGTCGTCGTTGTTGTTGTTGTTGTTGTTGTTGTTGTTGTTGTTGTTGTTGTTTTTCGATGTGTTCCTGTCTTGGAAAAACACCTCACAGGGTTCGTGGACCCAAGACGTTTTCTTAGTGTTTGTGATTGTATGGATTTCTTAATGATTTGGATTGTAGGGATCTCTTTTAGTTTTGGGCTGTATTGTTTTTTTTACTGTGTTTTGATTGTATGGATTGCTTATTGTCTTTCGTTGCATGGATGTCTTGAAGTCTTACGGTGTTCGATTGTATGGTTTTCTCATCATTCTTGATTGTGTGGTTTCTTGGTGTTCTGATTGTATGGATTTCTGATTGTTTTTGACTGTACGCATGATGATGAAAGTGGTGATGATGAGGGAGGATGACGACGGTGAGGAGGGGGAGGAGGGGGGTGAGGATGTTGATGGTGATGCCGACGATGGGGATGGAGGGAGGGAGAGAGAGGAAGGGAGGAAGAGAACAAGCAGCACCACACACAGGCCACCTGCAGTTAGGTCGGGCACGTCCCCCTACAGGCTGATCTTGGACGCGACATAGACCACTGTCGAAACAGATTCCCAAATGGTCAAAACTAGTTTTTTTAAAAATCGCCCCCAGACTATTGCTCTACTATCTTTGAATCGTCCTCCTGAAGAGGGCCGAGCCCGCCTCAAACCCACGCGCAGACACCACCCACCCCTGCGCTGGGGGGGGGCGGGGAGGGGACGCCGCAGCGGGAGGCCGAGGCGGGGGGCCCCCCGAGAGGGGGGCGCACACGCCCCCCCTCCCTCGGCCCGCGCGCCCGCCCCCTGCCCCGCAGCAGGCGGCGCTAGATCCTCCTCCTCCTCCTCCTCCTCCTCCTCCTCCTCCTCCTCCTCCTCCTCCCTCTCTGGGGCCCCCGCGGGGGCCCCAGAGATCCGACGCCGCGACTTTTGCTCCATGCTCGGCCACGCTCGGGTCGGGCGAGAGAGGGGGGGGATAGCAGAAGGGGGGTTTGAGGATCGGCTCGGGTGGCCGATTTTCCCGGCGCCTCCCGGCGCCGGAGGCGGCTATGTACCGAGGACTGGGTCCCTGGGTGAGGCCGAAACCAGCCGCATGCAGCAAATTTCGTACCACCCCCTTTCTCAATCCCCCCCTTTCGTCGACCCTAGGCAAGGGTGACCTCTGGTGCGCGACTTTCTGGGGTCGCGAGGAGGCCGAACCAGAGCGCGCAAGCCGCTGCGATCGCGTAGCGTTCGGCGATCGGGGGACCCCAGTGTGCCCGCACCAAAGGCCACGCCGGCGAAAGGTCACTCTCGCGTGTAACCGAAGTGCGCGGTCCCCGGATGTCTCCACCCGTTCCCCAGGACCGGCTTCTCGTCTCTCGAGCCGTCTCCTTGCCGTCGCTCGGGCGTCCATTTCCCGTGCATTTTTCGGTTTCGTGCGTTTTTTGTTGCTCGATGATCCAGGATGGTCCTTCATGGTCCTCGCCGAGAAGAAATGCACACGTCCGAGCGATGTCAGGTCTCTTAGACGGCCCCGTGGCCGAAGCGAGGCCGAAACTTGGAGCAGGCCTCCGCCGTGCTCTTCTTGGTCAGTGCGCCGGACCTCCGGGCCAGCAGAGCCGCGGAGCCGCAGGGGGGCCGAAACCGGCGGCCGCGGGGGCTCTCTTGGCGCCTGGGGGAGAGCCTCCCCGCGCCCGGGGGCCCCGCCGAGCACCCGCCTGGGCCCGACCCGCGGGGCGGGCCGCGGACACCCCCGGGGGGGGCCTTCCTGGACGGGGCCCCGCGCCCCATGGGGTGTCCTTCCTCTCTCTTTCTCTCTCTCGCTCTCTCTCTCTCTCTCTCTCTCTATCCCTTTATCTTGATTGTTGTTGTGTATGATTATCTATATATATATATATGTTTGTTATGTTTCTCTTTCTCTCTCTCTCTCTCAGTACACAGGTTCCCCCTCTCTCTCTCTCTCTGTTTTTTCCTCTCCTTCTCCCTCTCTATCTTCCTCCACCTCTCCCTGTGTTGCGTTTCTTTCTTTATTTCTTTATTTCTCTCTCTATCTCTCTCCATCCCTCTCTCCTCCTGCCCTGCTCCCTGCTCGCTCACTCTACTTTTCTTCTCCTCCCTCTCCCCTTCTCACGAGGAGCCCCAGAAAGAGCTGGCAACAAATGGAGCGACCCTCGAGGAACCCACCAGACCGTCGATGCGCCGAGCACCAGAGCGACAGGCGTATTACGGCCTTGCCGCAGGCTCTCTCCTTGACCAGGTCGCGTGAGTCACGGCGCAGGGCCGCGACGAAAGGAGAGCGGAGCACGAGGAGAGCCATAAGTGAGTGATCAGACCCATGACCGATCTGATGAAACCGAAAAGCAAGCTCGGCGTGCAGAGGCCGCGCCTGTGCCGCCAAGGCGAGGGGAGAGGGAAGGATGAGAGGGGGGAGAAGAGGAGGAGGAGGAGGGGGAGGAGGAGGAGGAGCAGGAGGAGGAGGAGGAGGAGGAGGAGGAGGAGGAAGAGCAGGAGGAGGAGGGGGAGGGGGAGGTGGAGCAAGAGGAGGAAGAGGAGGCGGAGGAGGAGACGGAGAAAGAGGAGCAGGGGGAGGAGAAGGAGGAGGAGGAGGAGGAAATAGTGGAACCAAAAACTGCATAAGCATAATCCCACCAGCCCTGTGGGCGTACGTGGTCCAGGGAATTTCCTCTTCCAGCCCCCTTCTTCCCCTTCGTGGAGGGGTTTACCCCTTTCCCCTACCCCCTCCCCTGGACCTGGACGGGGGTGCGGCGGGTAGTTGGAGCGTCCAAGATGGCCCAAGACGGCTCCAACAGGGCCTCGGAAATCCCAAGATGACCCCCAAGATGGCTCAAGATGGCACACTCTGCCTCAAGATGGCTTTCAAGATGCTGTAAGAAGCCCCACGAACGTTCCAAGACGGCTCCCAGAGGCTTCCGAGACCTCCAAGGAGCTTCCCAAGAGGCCAACATCCTTCAACATCCTTCATTGGTGCGTTCTCTCCTTTCCGCTTCCGATGGCCATCCGAAGCCTCAAGACGGCTCCAAGATGGCCCAAGAGGGCCCCTAGAAAGACCCAAGAGAGCCCAAGGACGGCCCCAAGAGCGCTCCAATTAGGCTCCCGAGGGGGGACCTTAATTGAAGCTCCCCTCTTGTTTGATCGATGTCCTCCAAGATGGCCCCACGAGCGCCCCTCAAGCCCCCACAGGCGCCCCAAGCGGGCCCCAAGAGGCGCCCACACAGCCACAAGAGGCGCCCAAGAGGCATCCAGCAGGCTCCCAAGAGACGCCCAAGATTCTCCCTCCTTGCCCTCCTTTTCTTCCTTTTCTTCCTTTTCGTCCTCCTCGTCCTCGCCTTACTCCACCTCCTCCTCCCCCTCCTCCCCCTCCTCCTCCTCCTCCTCCTCCTCCTCCTCCTCTTCCTCCTCCTTCCCCTGCGACAAATACGACAACGACGACGACTCCGCCTCCTCCATCCTCCCCCTCCTTGGGTATATGACGGCTTCCCCCGCCCTTTGTTCTTCTGCGTGCTCCCCCACTCCCCTGGGCATCGTTTCTGGATGGGCTGGTGGGGATACTTTTTGGCACGCGGGCTCGCGAAGCAGGTCGATAGACCTGCAAAGCTACGGCTGACCGCGCCGACACAACAAGGAACAGCATAACGGAACAACGCCCGGCTCAGACACGGGTTCAGCGTCCAACAAAACGTAAGAAATGCAGACCGGCACGATGACCATGACGAGGAGGGGGCTGGTGGGAATATTTTTTGGTCAACAGGCTCGCGAGGCGGGTCGAAAGCCGTCCAAACACTACTCGGGCCGCGACTAGGCAGGCTGGTGGGGATACTTTTTTGGTCGGCGGCTCCAGGGCAACGGTCGGGGAGCGGGAGCGGCGTCTGGGATGCGGCACGGTGCGAATCTGCGAACACAGCCGCCACGTTGGCAAGCCAGTTCGCACTTGCACAGCAAGTGCGCACTTGCACTTGCACAAAACAACATAAACTAAATTCACAAGCGAACGCACATAGGCGCCGCAGCGTGAACCGAGGTAAACAAGCTGCAGAGTGTGCGAGTAGCGGAGTGAGTCTTCGGTACGGCGCCAAACTCCAGGCCACCTGCCCACGCCGAACTGCTGACCGGGGAAGCCGGACAGAACGCGGTGGAAAACACGAGGCTGCGCGAGCGTGGAAGGCTGAACCACTCAGCGCTCTGTCCTCATAATTCTCCGCCCAGCCAGGGGGGGCCAGCGGCTACCAAGGCGCACCGAGTCCGGCGCCAGAGGCGGAAAGGCCCGCTGGCGGCCGCTGCGGTGCGCGGGGGAACCCACAGGCTGTAAAATGGCTGCACCACTCAGGGCCAGGCCCTCGGGAACACAACTTCCAGTGCCGGTGGGGGCCAGCGACAGCCCAAGGCGTCTGGTGGGGATGCGCTTTTTTGATTCGCGGCCCGCAAGGACAAGTCCAGAGGGCGGTGTGAACGAGGCTGGGGCACAGCGCACGGGAAAGCAGATAATTAACGGCGCTGGACAAGTGCCGGCCGAAGAGGCAACCGCGAAGGCGCCAGCTGAAACCCGGGCGCCACCACGCGACCACCAAAAGCCGCTGAACGCGTGCCAGCAGGAGGGGGTGGAACAATTAATGCAGACAATTAGCGACGCGGGCACTGTGCCAGCAGAACAGACAACCGAGAAGGCACCAGCAGATAATTAACGACGCTGGACATGTGCCAGCGAAAGAGGCAACTGTGAAGATACCAGCTGAAGCCCTGGCGCCACCACGCGGACCCCAAAAGCCGCTGAGCGTGTGCCAGCGAAAGTGGGGAGGGCGGAAAGGCCGGACCCGCGGGTGGGGTCAGACTGCCATGCGGAACGTGCCAATTCACTTACTTCCCACTTGGAACGTGGGCCAGTTTGTACGCCGCTGAGGGGATGTCTGGTGGGGATACGCGAAGCGTCAACACTTTTTCGGAGATCCGCGCAAGTTTTTTGCATCGGCGCAGGACCCACCTCTGTGGCGCGTGGAGCGCGCCAGGGGCGGCGCCGGAGGCGCCCAGGCGCCGACGCAAGGAATCCGCGCAGAGCCCTAGGTCGGGCAGGTCCTCCTACAGGCGGAGCTTGGATGAAAATTGAGGAATCGTCAACCAAAATACTCAAAAGTTGTTATGAATGGTCGAACGATGGTTTTTGAATGCTTCTCCTGTAGAGGGTCATGCCCGCCTTAAGCGAAACTCCGAGAAACCATGCTCATGCACTTGCGTGTTGCTTCTTCGAAGAGACCAGGAGGGGGACGCGGAACATGCATCATCAATCAGAGGACGGCCCTGGGGCTAGGTCGGGCATCTCCCCTGACAGGCGGATGTTGGGCGAAAGTTGCAGAATAGTCAATGGGATGTTCAGACATAGCTACAAAATCGTGAAAAGATCGTCCCATGACTATGATTATACTATTTCCCTACCTAGGCTCTGCCTAGAAGGGTTCTTACCCTGTGTGCTTAAATGGGCGGGGCAGTGTAACTTGCCCCGGACGGTTCCCCCGGCATCCGCCCCGCGGTTCCCCCAGTTACGTTCCCTTAGCTTAGCGTTGACTATCTCATCTTAACTTAGTTTATTGCATCTTAGCTTAGCTTAGCTTCATCTTAGCTCATGTGTATCTTAGCTTAGCTTACCTTCATCGTAGCTTCGCTGAGCTTTAGCAGATCAGAGCACGACATGGCATAGCATAGCACAGCGCAGCACAGCATAGCATAGCGCTGCATAGCATTGCATAGCGCAGCATAACATAGCATAGCATAGCATATCGCAGCACAGCACAGCATAGCACAGCGCAGCATAGCATAGCATAGCATACCATGGCATAACATAGCCAAGCATGGCATAGCCTAGCATATCATAGCATAGCATAGCATATCATGCCATAGCATAACGCAGTTTAGCATAACATGGCATAGCATAGCATAGCATGGCATAGCACAGCGCAGCATGATATAGCATAGCTTAGCATAGCATAGCATAGCATGGCGCAGCATCGCATATCATAGCACAGCATAGCGTAGCATAGCGCAGCAAAGCGCAGCATGGCATAGCATAGCATAGCATAGCAACCAATGCTGCTTTCCTAGGGGCTCCAACTTCTAGGTAGGGTCGCACTGGGGTAATTCTGAATATTCCTCCTGTAGAAAGCCCGGCTTAACCCTGGGGCCAGGGCGACCCACCGGGCAAGGGACGCGCGGAGCCGCGCACCGCGACGGAGGAGATGTTGACGATGTGCCTGCCGTGGCCGTGCGGCCGTATGCCGCCGCCCCCGCCGCCGCATCCATCAACGCCCCCGCCGTCGCCGCCGGCGACGACGCCGCCGCCGTCATCGCCGCGGCCGCAATGCTGAGCATGAATAGCTTGGGGGACGCTATACGAAGGTGATGACGTGGCATGGACGCATATACTTCTGCGAGCGGCATTCGTGAGGCTCGCAGCCCCCCAAGGATTGCGAGGTCCCACTCAGATCTGCGTGGTGCCTCACTCCGCTGGACCCGCCACCATCCTTCGAAAGCAGCGACGGTTTCGCAGATCGCAGCCCCCCAGGGATGGCGAGGTCCCGCTCAGATTTGCGCGATGTCTCATTCTGCTGGACCCGCCAGCAGCTCTCGAAAGTGGCGACGGTTTCGCAAATCGCAGCCCCCCAGGGCTGGCGAGGTCTCGCTCAGATCTGCGCGGTGCCTCACTCCGCTGGACCCACCAGCAGCCCTCGAAATTGGTGGCAGTTTCGCAAATCGCTATGCTGGCCCCCCCCAGCGCCCTCGAAGGTGGCGACAGTTTCGCAAATCGCAGCCTCCCGAGGATGACGAGGTAATTTGGATCTGCGGCGGCTACCCACTATAGCTGGCCCCCCAAGCAGCCCTCGAAATCGGCCACAGTTTCGCAAATCGCAGCCCCCCCCTCAGGGATGGCGAGGTCTACTTTGGAGCTGCGGCGGCGGCTACCCACTATGCTGCCCCCCCAAGCAGCCCTCGAAAACGGCGGCGGTTTCGCAGATCGCAGCCCCGCCCCCCAGGGATAGCGAGGTCGACTTTGGATCTGCGGCGGCTACCCACTATGCTGGCCTCCCAAACAGCCTTCGACAGTGACGACAGTTTCGCAAATCGCAGTCCCCCAGGACGGGCGAGCTCGGATTTGGATCTGCGGCGGCTAAAACCCACTACGCTGCCCCCCCCCAGCAGCCCTCGAAAGTTGCGACAGTTCGCAAATCGCAGCCACCCAGGAATGACGAGGTAGAATTTGGATCTGCGGCGGCTACCCACTATGGAGTCCCCCCCAGCAGCCCTCGAAAGTGGCGGCAGTTTCGCAAATCGCAGCCCCCCAGGAAGGGCGAGGTCTACTTTGGATCTGCAGCGGCTATCCATCATGCTGTCCCCCCCCAAGCAGCCCTCGACAGTGGCGACATATTCGCAAATCGCAGCCCCCAGGGATGGTGAGGTCTACTTTGGGTCTGCGGCGGCTACCCACTATGATGTCCCCCCAAGCAGCCCTCGACAGTGGCGACATATTCGCAAATCGCAGCCACCCAGGGATGGCAAGGTCTACTTTGGGTCTGCGGCGGCTACCCACTATGCTGTCCCCCCCCAGCAGCCCTCGAAAGTGGCGTCAGTTTCGCAAATCGCAGCACCCAGCGATAGCGAGATAATTTGGGTCTGCGGCGGCTACCCACCATGTTTGCCCCCCCAGCAGCCATCGAAAGTTGCGATATGTTGCAAATCGCAGCACCCCGGAGATGGCGAGGCCTAATTTGGGTCTGCGGCGGCTACCCACTATGCTGTCCCCCCCGGCAGCCCTTCGAAAGTGGCGACGGTTTCGCAAATCGCAGCCCCCCAGGGATGGCGAGGTCGAATTTGGGTCGGTGGCGGCTACCGACTATGCTGTCCCCTCCAGCAGCCCTCGAAAGTGGCGACAATTTCGCAAATCGCAGCCCCCCAGGGATGGCGAGGTCGAATTTGGGTCTGCGGCGGCTACCCACTATGCTGTCCCCCCCCAAGCAGCCCTTCGAAAGTGGCGACGGTTTCGCAAATCGCAGTCCCCCAGGACGGGCGAGGTCGGATTTGGATCTGCGGCGGCTACCACCCACTACGCTGCCCCCCCCCAGCAGCCCTCGAAAGTTGCGACAATTTCGCAAATCGCAGCCCCCAAAGTACCGCAGGCAACATGCACACACAAGCGGTAATTATGCACACGGCAAAAGGAGACAAGAAAGAGGGGGGCGGTAGGCGGGAGGCGGGAGGAGAAAGAGAAGGAGAAGACGCGACCGCAGTATTCTATTCAAAACGAATACCCAACCAACGAGGATTGCGAAACAATTACCCTGGAGAACGACCCAACCTCATGAAATTGTGAGTAACGCGTTGTGGGTGCCGCATTCGGTGGAGATCCCCATGGGGCCACGAAGCGCGTGAGGGACGTGCCGTAATGGGTGGGGCTGGCGCATGAAGGCGGTGCCAGTGGGGTCTTCGGTGGGGCTCCCTGTGGGGCCACGAAACGCTGTACTGGGTGTGGCTGACGCATGCGGGCGGTGCCCCTCGCTGGAGCTCCCGATGAGGCGACGAAACGCTGTACCGGGTGGGGGGGACGCATGCGGGCGGTGCCACTGGGGCTTGGTGAAGCTCCCGATCAATGGGGCAGCGAAATGCAGTACTGGGTGGTGGACGACGCATGCGGGCGGTGCCACTGGGGTCTTTCTGTGGAGCTCCCTACGGGGCCACGAATTGCTGTACTGGGTGGTGGCTGACGCATGCGGGCGGTGCCACTGGGACCATCGGTGGAGTTCCCCATGGGGCCACGAAGCGCTGCACTGGGTGGTGACTGACGCATGCGGGCGGTGCCACTGGGGTCTTCGGTGGAGCCCCCTGATGGGGCCACGAAACGCTGTACTGGGTGGTGGCTGACGCATGCGGACGGTGCCACTGTGGCTTTCGTAGGAGCTCCCTGTGGGCCCACGAAACGCTGAACTGGGCGAGGACTTACGCATGCCCCATCGGGGAGGACTAGAAATACGGCCAAACCTGGGGCAGACAAGTATCCTGCAAGAACATGAAACCTTCCGCTGGCCAAACCACCCCGAACCGTAAGATCACTCGAGGGTACCCTCACCCAAGATGCACAACAACCATCCAACAAGTACACAGTATACCAAGGTAACCTCCACGAACCAATCCCGATCTTCTGTCCCAGTCCAGCCGTAATCGGCAAGGGTAGGGTTCGGATTTACAGGCCTCCTGGATGGGGTCTGAAGAGATGAGGTCGGAGAGTTGCACCGCCAATGCATCGGCGATGCATCGCCGACGTCGGCGATGTATCGGCGCCATCGGCGGAGGGAAAATCGGGCTCCTCATCGAGAAGCATCGCCGATGCATCGTCGATGCGGCACGATCCTTCGACCCCATCTGCCCAGACTCCATCGGGGAGGCTTAGAAGTACTGCCGGACCTACGACAGAAACACATCTTTCAAGAACATGAGACCCTCCGCCAGCAAACATACCCTGAACCATAAGATCACTCGAGGGTACCCTCCCCCAGGATGCGCCAGAACATCCAACAACCACGAAGAACATCAGGGCACCCTCCCCGAACCGAGCTCGATCTTATGCCTCGGTCTGGCCGCAGGCCGTATCCAAGATCCGCCTGGCCAGATTAGCCCGGATTGGCCAAGATAGACGAGCGCGTTCCACTACTCGCAAAGTGACTGCTCGCAAATGTCCTGGATCCCCCGCAGATTAGCCCGGATTGGCCAAGAGGAATAATTTTAGGTCGGGCATGTTCCCCTACAAAGGGATTTGAAACTGGATTCTGCCGGGCTGGGCCGCGTCTCTACCACGGGTGCATCAACGCCGATGCTGAATGTAACCCTCCAGAAGGGACCGACCGTCCCGGCATTCCTATAGGCCTACCTCGAAATGTTCTTAGAACTCAAAACATGCTCTAATAACAAAAGTAACGCTCTTAGAACAAAAACCCGATGCGATAAAACAGGACAGTCCCGACCAGAAATGTGCTAAGAACAGCACGTGGAACCCACAAACGGTCCTTAGAACATTGCTTGGTAGGCCTGTCGGCACGCCAGAAGCTGCTTCCGAATGTCAGCACGACAGAACGCTTCGCCACTGCTTGCGCACCAGCGCCGATGCTGAATGCAAAACCCCCGGAGACGGACTCCGAATGCCGGCACGAGAGACGGGCAGCGACCCCAGCCGGCCGGCGGCCCGAGCCGGACCTCCCCCGCCCGAGAGCCCATCGGTCCTCGATCACGGGGCCCAGGCCCCCGACGGCGCCCCGCCCCGACCTCTTCGCCAGGACCACTCGCGTCGCGCAGGAACCGCGACGGCACGAGTGCCGCAGGCTTCGGCCTCGGAGGGCCCGCCCGGGACCTCGGGACCGTCAACACAGGACTCGGGACGAGGAGCAGATGCCAGGGAAGGGGGTCGAGAGCTCGGGGGGAGCGTCGCTGTGAAAAAAAAGACACGACGTCGGAAGCCTGGGCCCATTTGCTCAGAACGGCCCCGGGGCGGTGCGATGAAGAGTTCCCAAGGAACTGAAACTTGCCACAAACCTGCCGTCCAGAATAACTGAACATCACAATAAACATACACTGTCGAAGGTCCGTCTGGATTTCGTGGATCAGCGCCGGACGCGGCGCCGCCAGCGACGCCAGCGGGGCCCAGCCTCGATCGACAAAACAATCCGCGCGGACCTCCGGCAATGGGTGGTCAGGCCGCTGACTCTTCCTCCGCCAGGCCCCCCCGCCGCGAAGCCCCCCCACGAAGCGAGGGGGGCCAGGGCCTGGCGGGGAACGGGGACGGGGAGGGCGATCGATCGAAGCTCCTCGATCGAGAGAGTGATCGAGGATCCATTCCAAAACCCCCGACGTCATGATTTTTTCATGACGCGACCCCCAGAGGTCCGGACCGATTCCCCGGGACCGGTTTTTCATCCTGAGTCGTTTTTTTACGGTCCTGAGGGCCGGTGAGGGCCCCCGGAGGCCGACAATAGCGAAAAACCTGCCGTCGTGATTTTTTCATGACTCGAGGGGGTCTGGGTTCAGGGCCGGAGATCCCCGATCGCTCGAGGACTGGAGATGTCCCCGATCGCTCGGGGCTCCTCGGCCCTCGATCGGTCGAGGACCCCCGCGGCCGGCCGCGCGCCGCGGGGCGAGGGGCCCGCGGCTCCGCGCGCGCATGCCGGGCCCGAAGGCGCTGACCAGCGCCTCGGGGGGCGGCCGCCGCGCCTGCCCCGCCTCGCCCGCCCTCTCCGCACCTGCTCCCCGCCTTCTCCCTCCTCGCCCTCCTCCTGGACCTCCTCCTTTTTGGACACCCGAAATGGGTACCGAAAGAATGGGTACAATGCCCAACAACAAATGTTGTCCCAAACCAACAGCGGCCGCTGTTGGGCAGGCAGCCTTCTGTCTCGAATGGACACATGCCGCGGAGGCGTGGACAGCGAATCTTGTTCAGAATGAACAGGAACTGCTGTTGGGCATCGTACCCATTGTTTCCGTGCCCATCTCGGGCGTCCAAATCCTTGGTCCTTCTCTACAATTACACAATATGAAAATACGCTCCCACTTCCCCTGATGGCGTCCCGACGATGGCCGACCCCCCCCCCCCGCGCACTGTTGTTTTTAATTCCCGGGAAACGGGTCTTCGCCTGCGTTTTTTTCAAAATGATGCTCTCGCTGAGGCGCCGGCCTCATGTCTGCTCCCGAATCGTTCCGAATCGTGCTCCCGCTGCAGCGTGGGCCTCATTTTCGGATCGGTGTTTGGCCTCCGTCGTTCAGGATGGCGTTCTCGCCCCAGCGCGGGCCTTTTTCTCGCGCGCCCATCCGCCCGCCACCACCGCGCCGCACCACCACCACCACACCACCACCACCACACCACCACCACCACCACCACCACCACCATCACAACCACCACCAGCACCACCACCAGCAGCACCACCACCACCACCACCCACCACCACACCACCACAACCACGCACACACGCACGCACGCACGCACGCGCACCACCACCCACTACCCACGCGCGCGCGGAGCCACAGGTCCGCTACGACACGCGTCCGCGGATAGAGAGAATCAGCGCCATGGTAAGGGATGGGTGGGTGGGGTAGGACGTCAGATATGACGCGAGCGTACCTAACTTGCCCCCTCCCCCTCCCTCACTCCCCACTCCCCACTCCCCACTCCCCACTCCCCACTCCTCCTCCTCCTCCTCCTCCTCCTCCTCCTCCTCCTCCTCCTCCTCTTCCGTAGCCATTTTGGCTCAAGATGCTTTGTTCCACAGGGGAACACGTGGATACCGCTAGTCCGCGGCCAGTGCCAGGGTGTTTCCGCCCGACAGTTTTGCTTCCGCCTCTCCTAGCCCTGTGGCTGGCCTCGTTGCTCTCCAGAGTAGGCGAGGAACCATGGCGCCAGGAGGACGAGGCGGCAGTGGCGGCGAGGGCAAGCCTGACTGGCACTGCCGTTTCTGCAAGTATGAGCGCGGGCCCAAGATCGGGATGCCATGCATCACGTTCGGTTCCAAGCAGCTATGTCACTTCTGCGGCGGCGCCAAAGACCGCACCTTCCTGGGCCACGTCCGAGGGGAGGAGGGGCTGCGCCGCGGCCACAGTGGCACCACCGGTGCTGGTGGGGGTGCAGGCGCCGCTGGGCAGCACCTCGCCTTGCAGCGGGAGGTCACCAGGCTGCGCGAGGAGCTCAAGACGGCGGAGGGCAATAAGGGCTCTGCGGCGGAGGCGCCCAGCGGCGTTGAGGCTGAGGAGAGCACAGATGGAGGAGACGAGCAGCGCAAAATCGAACATCTTGATGGCCGGCTACGTGTGCTGCGTAGTATCTCCGACCCAGGGAAAGACATCCTCGACGCGATCGAGAGGATCGCGGCCCAGCGGCAGGTCTTGGCAGAGCAGGTGCGTGCCAAGAAGCCAGTGGTCGCGCAGCTTCTCACTCTCCAGAAGAAGCTCAAGTCCAAGCAGGGCGCCATCAGCAAGCAGGACGCGGCGGTGGCCAAGGCGCAGGAGGCAGTCACCAAGGCGCAGGCTGCGCTGGAGGCCGAGCGCGAGAAGGGCAGCAAGCTGCGTGCTGATGAGGCCGAGCTGGAGGAGCAGTTGCGGGTGCTCAGTGCCCAGGTGCCCAGGCCACCAAATGCGAAGGAGTCCGAAGGGGCCCCAGGTGGGGCGCCAAACCTCGACGTCCTGGCCGACCTGCTCAAGGAGTTGGGGGCGTCGGGCGAGGTCGCTGAGAAGTTCCTGGCCCACCCCAAGTTCGCGGCGTCGCTCGGCCCCAGGGCTGCGACGCGTGTGCGTCCTGCTGGCGACCTGGATCCTGGTGGCGTGGCGACGGCGCCGCCCGACGCCAAGAGGCTGCGCACGGTGGCCGACAAGGCGCCACTCGAGCAGCTGCGCGACAGCATCGAGGCCGCAGGTTTCAAGGTCCCCACAGAGGAGGCGGATATCAGGGCAAAGGCGCACCAGATCGCGGCAGCGGCCAGTGCGTGGGCCTATCGTGCCTACTAGGCGTCGGGGGCCGAGCTTTGGTGTTTTCTGGAGTACCTTGTTCAGTATGATGATAGGAGTTTCTGGTAATACAAAGCATGGTGGCAGTTCGGATGCTGTCAAAGGCGCGTTGACCACGGTCGACGTTTCATGTGCGAGAGGGCTGACCGAGTACCTCGCTGGCGACCCGAAGGGTGACATCTTCGGCGTGCAGGAGCATCGTGCCTTGGGCGACAAGTTGGGCTCCTTGCAAGGCCAGGTGAAGGACTTGGAATACCATGGTCTGTGGGCCCCAGGCATGGCCACAGGCAGTGGCCCACTGGATGTCTCGGGTGGCGTCGCGCTCCTCACGCGCAATGTCATCCCCGTGGCGGCGCCGCCGTTCATGCCGCCCCACGTTCTGGAGGAGGCGCGTGCGTTGACGGGCCACGTGCACTGGGGCGCAAAGGGAGGGCTCACCGTCGTCGTGGTCTACTTGAGGCACTCCGTGGGCATGGGCGACGACAACTCAGATACGGTCCACGAGCCGCAGCGCCACCTCAGGGTGCTCAACGCACGCGGGCTGGACTGGGTGGCCATGGGCGACTGGAACATGGAGCTGGACGAGTTGAAGGGGCCATGGCTCGAGCAGGCGCGGGGCGTCCCGATCGCCCCGACAGGGCCGACGTGCTGGCAGTCGGTGGAGGGCCCCTGCCTGGGCTACTTCATCGCGGCGCCGAACCTGGACCCGAGGCTAGGCGAGGCTTGGGTCACGACGGACGCGGCGCTGCACCCCCGCGCCCCCGCGCACGTGAACCTGGCCACGGTCGACCGCGAGTCCTTTGTCAGGGTCGCCGTCGAACCGCGGGGGTTCGCTGCGGTGCCGCCTGTGGGCGCGGCGCCCTTCCCTCATGACCGAGGGTGGCGGGCGGCGCTGCAGCGCGTCCTCGCGGCGGAGGAGCCTGGGCGCCTCGCGCAGGCGTGGGGCGCAGTCGTCAGCATGGCGGAGGCCGAGCTCTGCAGCCGCTGGTATCTCGTGGGGGCGGAGAGGCGGCAGCGCACGGGCAGGGCGGCCGAGCCTGTCTTCAAGCTGGTCCAGCCGACGCGGCAGTCGCCGCGACGCAGGAAGCTGTACGACCCGAAGGTCAGCGCCCGCATGGTGGCGGCGAGGTGGGAATCGGCACCTGGATGCAGCCCGCTCGCGCTTGGTCAAGCTGCCGGCGTGCGACCTGGACGACCGCGTCGAGCGGGCAGTTGGCCTCGTCCTCGAGACTCACCGCTGCTACGGCAACGTGGCGCAGTCGCAACGTGTGCTTGGCCAGCTCTCTGAGGACGTCGCGCAGTGGTTCCTGGGCGGCGTGGGCCAGATGAGCAAGGGGACATGGGCCGCCAAGGTAGAGGGGATCGTGGCGGAGGCCGATAGGTGCACCAGGCGCTACAATGGGGAGCGCGGGAAGGAATGGCGTGCGTGGGCAGCCAAGAGCCTCACAGGCGGTGCGAGTGCGGCACGCCGCTTCACGAGGCCACCTCCTGAGGCCGAGGTCCGCGGGGCCACCACGAAGGCCAGCCCGCGCCAGATGGCTGACCGCGAGCTCGATGGTTGGAAGAGGGTGTGGACAGTCCATGGGCAAGGCGCCCTGGAGAAGCCACCTGATTTCGAGGACTGGGCCGAGCTGCCGCGGATGAGCATCGGTCACCTTCGACGTGCAGCGCTGTGTTTCAAGGAGCGCACGGCGGTGGGCCAGTCGGGCATCGCCCCGCGGGCCCTCTGGCATCTCAGCGGCATCGGCCTTTACGTGCTGTCAGCGCTCTTCAGCCAGCGTGAAAAGCTGGGGGTGTGGCCGACGGACAGGGTGTACACAGTGCTGGTTCGCCTGCCCAAGGCGAGTGGAGGATGCTGGCTGATTGCCCGGGTGAACTCCTTCCTCAGTCTGCGGGCGAAGGCGCGTTCGACGATTGCACGTGCCTGGCTCGACCGGGCGGGCGTGCCAAATCTCTGGGGCAATGGTGGGGCTGGCAAGACCTCGACGGCAGCAGCGTTCCATCACAACCTGACGGCTGAGATCATGGCCATCAATGGAGGGCACAGCGTCACGGTGCTCCTGGATGCGTGGAAGGCGTTTGACAGCCTGATCGGAGGCAGGCTGCTGGACGAGGCTCGGGCCGTGGGGTTCCCGCCCCGCCTCATGTGGGCCATCCTCCAGTATCACCATCTGCCGAGGCGCATCAAGGCGTTCGGCTCGACGTCGAAGAGTTCCACGGCGCACCAGGGCAACCTGGCGGGCTGCTCCCACTCGATGGCGGTGCTGGTGGTGGCGACGGCGCGGGCGTTGAGGCGGCTCGCGACATATGACGCGATCCCGCGCGCGCTCGCCGACGACACCACAGTGCAGTGGATCGGCGCGGACCTGAGAGGGGCGCGAGTGCTGTGGCAGGCTGTCAAGCGTTTCAAGCATGAGGTCGGGGATGCTGGTCTCGTGCTGCAGGAGCTCAAGTCGGGCTACGTGGCGACGTCCAGGTGGAGCCGTGATGCAGCGGCGCAGTATGCCAGGCAGCTCAGGATGGGATCGCAGCCGCACATGAGGAACCTGGGCCACGACCTGAACGGGACCAGGGCCTGCAGGAGAGTCGTCAATACCAGGCTCAAGAACGTGAGGCCGCGCCTGAGGCGCGCGGCGCAACTACGACGCGCTGCTGGAGGGCGTGCGGCGCGCCTGTGGCAGACGGGCTTGCTCCCTGCAG